ACTTTCGAAATCGGATTAACCCACTGAAACACTGCGCAACCTTTCAGCCGCGTGTCTCTCCCACGTTTCTCATAGTGTTTTCCTCATTACGCCAATAACACATCTGCACATGCAACAGGGGAATGCGGCACACTCGGCAAGTCCCCGACAAACTTCAGAGCGTAAATAGATGCACTCATACAGAAATGGAGACTATAGAATGGCAATAGCATGAAGTTATTGCCCTAATTAATTCTTTGTGCCCACAGAGCAAACTGTTGATGCACTGGTGCCACATTGTTAGGACTGTGAGAGCTTTTTTGTCTTCTTTGCTCTAATGGGATGTTTTGATCAACGGCTGTTTGGTGACCCAGCTCCTCTTCTTAAATGCCAAGCTCTGGGAAATGGCAATTAGCTAGATTAGTAGAGCCATTTTGGGAGTCTCAAACATAGACAGAGATCAGACAGGGGCAGATGGAACTCTAACATGACAAAACAAACCATGCCTGATATTTATATATCTAAATTACAGTAAATTTAACCGGTGTAGGGTTATATTCAAGTATTTGTTTTTGAATTTGTGTTTCTTTGCAGCGATGTTGAGTATAGCCAGAGAACTGAACTGCATGTCACCCAACAACATTCAGTCCTGACTTTTATTTATAACAAAATCATTACTTGTCATTGTACATGGATATTTTCACAGATTTAATTAGTGTCTGCAAAATTATCTCAGTAGAATTACAGCATATTATTGCTTTAGTCCTTTCAGGGATCGGAGATACAGATATGAAAAAAAAAAAAACTACATTTGAAGGGATTACAAGTATCAGTGTGCAGTCAACTAAACTGTCAAGTAAATTGGGACACTTTTGAGTTAGTCAATTGGGACATTGAGGAAAACCCTATGTGTAACATTAAACTATGTTCATGCAGTTTCTTTTTGATAATTTTGTGTTGTATTGATATAATAAAATATATTTATTCAGGCCCTAAAGTTTTTTCAAACATCAGTTGTTGCACATTTTTTGAGATACGAAGGGTTCAAATAAAATGGGATATTAAACTACAAAGTGTAAAAAAACATTTCATTACTATAATTTGAGAACATAATGTAATAAAACATTTGCATAGCATTAAATTACTAGAACAGTAGTATACGCCACTCTGTTGCTAGAAAGCAGACATTTGTCTGTGTCAGTGTCTCCCTGTACTCAACTAAAGTTTCTCTCATCTTCTACCTTCTCTTTCTTTTCTCTTTTCAGCATGCTGTCTGGGTGATAACAACTATAAAATCTATCACTCAAAATGCCTCGTTTATTCTCTCCTTTTTCAGCGAGTGTCAGCTAAATAGCAGTCTGTGCGCTACATGTTAATATGAAAAAAATAATAATTTATCCATTTATCAGTGCTGGAAAACAGCTTCCATGCGTTAGTGAGTGTTTTTTGCATGTTTGTGAACATTTACATACATGTATAAATACTAACATGCACAAGTATACATAGTAAAGTACACATAAACACAGATCACAGGCAAATGCACTTAGAAGGCAAAATGTGGAAAAAGTATGCAAGACATGTAATAATAAAATCTAATATTAATACCAGTATTTTCAGTATTTGTTTGTCAGCTCAGGATGTGGCCCATTTTAAGTAACATTTATTGACTACTTTATCTAACACATTAAGGCAAACTTGATTAACAGCTAAAAATACTTTTTCATAAAAAGCTGGTTTATTTTAAAGATATCACAAAACAGATTTTGAGTCATTATTTAGGAATGTTCTTTTTTTAATTGGCTTATCAACCTTGTTAATGACAGTAAGATTAGGCCTGCCATGCAGTTTGTTTCACATTTTGTAATTAAATTGGTGAGAATGCCAGTATTTTAACCCAGATTGTGGCAAATGAGGTGGGAAACAAAAAAATGAGATATTATTGTAACACAACTAAAATTATTTAAAATAACAGAACAAATTAATATCAGAGAAGAAGACAAAATAATAATAATAA